CCATGCTGAGGCCGCGTCCCACATACAGCAACTAGAAGGATGTGCAGCTATGACATACAACTATCTACTGGGGCTTTGGGGGAGAAAAATATATAAAATTTAAAAAAAAAAAAGATTTTAACTTTTTCAAAAAACCATTTTTCCATTTCTTTCTGGCTGAAGACACCTCATTGCTTTCTGACTGACCAAGGTGCAACAAAATTTGCAGCAGCCATGGGGATTCCAGAGGTTCCTGGAAAGCAGCTGGTAACAGAGAGAAACATAAAACGCCTAGAAAAGGAGAAGCATGAGAAAGATGCTCAGAAATTAGACTGTCAAAAGTAAGTGTCATCTGTGACTCACGTTTTTGGAATTTATTCAAGTGTGAAAGTTTGACAAATATCTGGGTATCCACATTTCTTCAGTAAGTCAAACATAAGTTGGTAGTTTCAGTTTTTATATGAAATAATTCACAGTAAATAATGTAAATACTGCCCTTTTGGTACTCAAATTAGGCTAACAGAATTCCTTCTCCAATGTGGTTTAATAAGAGAATGCCTTGTGTTAATGTATTAACTATCTGGATGCTTCTAGATCAGTTTGTTACCTTAAGTACAGGAATCCCCCCTTATCCGCAGTTCCGCTTTCCATAGTATCAGCTACCCCTACCCCCAGTCAACTACAGTCCAAAAATATTAAATGGAAAATTCCAGAAATAAACAATTCATAAGTATTAAATTGCATGCCGTTCTGAGTAGCATGAGGGAATCCTGCTCTGTCCTGCCTGAGAGGTGATTCATTCCTTTGTCCATCGTAACCATCCTGTGTACACTACCCACCTGTTAGTCACTTAGTAGCTGTCTCGGTTATCAGATCGACAATCGTGATAGCGCAGTGCTTGTGTTCAGGTAGCCCTTATTTTGCTTAATAATGGCGCCAGAGCCAAGTTTATTATTAGTTATTGTTGATCTCTTACTGTGCCTAATTTATAAATTGGACATAGTATCTATAGGGTTCAGTACTGTCTACAGTTCAGGCCTCCACTGGGGGTCTTGGAACGTATCCCCCTCAGGTCAGGGGGGACTGCTGTAGACTAAACAGGTTCTCTATGATCTAATGTACCCTGTGAACTTACTTAAGCACTCTTTCATAGTGCAGAGAAATCAGTACAACTCTTATAAGTTTGAATTAATTGTGTTCTGAATTACAGTTTTCTGTGTTAGAGATTTCAGAATCCCAAATAAAAATCGCCTTATTTAAAGCAAAATTTGAAAAATAAAATTTGAATATGGCCTGAGAGTTTATAATGGCATATAATCTATTGACTCTGCATACTTTTTTAGATTTGTAATATTTAACCAGAGTTGTGCTTTAGTATCACTTAGGGAGCCTTTTCAAAATATACCTATCTGAGCCCCTTCCCTAAGGAATCTAATTTAACAGATCTGAGGTAGAGAGGCCAGGCAGGTGTATTAGGAAAAAGTTTCCCAGGTAATTCTGGTGTGTCCTCAGGTTAAGAATCTGTTTTATAATATTGGCCATATGTTGGTAGCTGTTGATAACCTTACCAAGTGCTGTTGTATCTGTAGGCTAGAGTCACAGGAATGGGGTTGCTTTATCACTGGTTTGTGTACATTTTAATAGATCTTGCCACATTGCTTTCCAAAAATTCTGCAACAACACACGTCTCCACCAGCCAGTGCTACTTTTAGATATAAGCAAGAGGGGCTCCTGCCCTGGGCACTGCACTTTAGAGGACCCTCATATCACAAATACACAAAACACTTGGTTTATTACAGACACATGGGGCACCTCTGTCACTCAGCAGTGGCACAGCATGACCCATAACCCTCATCATCCACTCTTGTGACTAACATCATTCAGCCCTCAGCGAAATGCTTCTCTACATCTCTTGCTCTATATCTGAAAAGCAAAGCCCACCTGAGTTTAAAGGTTTGTGGATTGTGCCCCTGCTGACGTCAGAAATGGACGCTGCTTTGGAGTGTGGGGAAGAATCGAACAGCAGAACAACTTAGGTAAGAGAAAAAGACAAATTAATAACTTGTCAAATAAATTCTTGCATGATGAAGTATTGTTTCCCAGTAGTGCCCAGTGTCCATTTTCTCTGCGTTTCAATTTGTGCTTCTGGAGGTATTCGTGAATTAGTACAGTATCTGCAAGACTTGCATGCGAGGGCTGATTCCTGTTACTTTTGAATTTGTATATATGTAGGTCTAGACCAGCACTGTCCAATAGAAATACGAGAGCCACATAGGTAATTTAAAATTTTCTAGTTGCCACATTTAAAAGAAAATAAACAGGTGAAATGAATAATATTTTAACCCAGTATACCCAAAATATTATTATTTCAACATGTAATTAATATAAAAATTATTTGAGATATTTTACTTTCTTTGATACCAAATATTAAAAATCGGATGAGTATTTTACACTTACAGCACATCTCACTGTGGACTGCCCACATTTCTAGTGCTCAGTAGCCACATGTAGTTAGTGGCTGCTGTATTGGACAGCGCAGGTCTAGATGGAACCTGCGTGAAAAACCAATTCTCCATGTCGGCAACTAAATGGACACTGAATATTAGAATTATGAATGGTTTTATTCTTACAAAAATATTTAAAAGATTTGGTTAAATTTTCAATAGTGTTAAAAATTTCAGCCCTTAAATAATTTTGATTTAAAATTTTATATTCACTAATTATAATTCATATTTTGACTTTAATATTAATAATTTTGTATAATTAAAAAACTAACTTTTTGAAATTATGTCTGCAAATTACTTTGATTTCTTATTTTTTTGAATTTGCTCTTAATTTTGATGAAAACATTTTAATTTTGTACACTTTAAATATAATTACATTTTACTTTTTAATCTCTAGATTGTTGAAAATGAGTGTAAGTCAAGATTTTGATAGAAAAAGAATACTTAAGAAGAACTCACAAAAGAAAAAAAAGGCTGAATGGAAAAAAGAAGCAAAAAATCTTCAAATAAATAGTCTGCTTGCATTTTTAAAAATAAAACAGGGGGCCGGCCCGGTGGTGCAGGCGGTTAAGTGTGCGCACTCCGCTGCAGCGGCCCAGGGTTCACCGGTTCGGATGCCGGGCGTGCACCGATGCAGCGCTTGGCAAGCCATGCTGTGGCAGTGTCCCATATAAAGTGGAGGAAGATGGGCAGGAATGTTAGCCCAGGGCCAGTCTTCCTGAGCAAAAAAAGAGGAGGATTGGCAGATGTTAGCACAGGGCTGATCTTCCTCACAAAAAAAATTAAAATAAAACAGTAAAAGTAAGCAGTCTTCTTCCAGGATAACCCACATAAAAATCACAAACAGGACATTACAAATTATTTGTTCAATGAAGATTTAATTACTTCTCAAAACAATAAAAATTAGTAAGACTTTTGTTCTCACCATAATCCACAACTTGAACAGTTCAGATGAAATCTCTGCAACTTCATGTTCTTTAGTAAAGGAAGATTTGACTGCAAATCACAAAGAATCACACACACAGTTACTAGAATTGGCAGAAAAGACTGAATAAACAACAAATGATAATACCAGAAAAAGACAAAGCTAGAAAACATCAATGTACTGTTCTTGAAAGAATAATATAATATTTCCGCTATTTAGCCAAGCCTAATGATGCTTTTCATGGCACCACCACCACGATGTTTACAAAAAACAATGGAAAATTTCTAGGTTTAGTAAAAATTATTTCAAAATTTGATAAAATGCCAACCATAATTAGGACAAAAAATATTGAAACTAATGATCACTATCTAGGATAGAGAATTCAAACAGATTAAGGGATAATAAAGTGGGAGATGAAATCGTATATAAAGTTTTTTTTAAAAAAATACTCAGTTCAACTAAAATGTACCATGGTCAGAAGACATGTTGAAAAACTAACATTTAAAAGACTGTCAAAGGCGAGCCTATGATAATGGAGCTAACATGATTGGTAGATAAAAGGTGTAGAAGCACAAAGTTTGTCAAGAATCCAGAAGTGTTCTGTGTGACATGAACAGCTCACAGTTTGAATTTGTTTCTAGGAGACAGGCCCTCTGCCGTGGGGACAGCGATGATGTTGTGAGACAGTGGAGGGTCCAGTACACAATTTTCTAGATAATGCCCAAATATGGGACAGCTTGATTAAACTCATATCAGACCTTATAACAAATCTCAGACATATGGTGGGAATACCAAGTAAATGCTGTTAAAGTAATTAAGTTGAATTTAGATAAGAAGGGTTCAGCAAAACCACAGAAGATCCTCAAAGAGCAAGTCATGGGCTTTAACAGGAAGTGAAAGTAATTTTGAATTTGCGCTATCTGCAGTTATTTAGTATGAACTGTTAATTTCTATTGATAACCTTAAGCTTTAAAAATCGTCATTTTAGGGGCCGGCCCGGTGGCGTGGCAGTTAGGTGCACATGCTCCTCTTCGGCGGCCCGAGGGTTTGCAGGTTCGGATCCTGGGCGCGCACAGACACACTGCTTGTCAAGCCATGCTGTGGCCGCATCCCATATAAAGTAGAGGAAGATGGACACAGATGTTAGCCCAGGGCCGATCTTCCTAGGCAAAAAAAGACGAGGATTGGCATCAGATGTTAGCTCAGGGCTGATCTTCCTCACAAAAAAAAAAAAAAAAATCTTGTTTGGCTATTTCACTTTTCAAAGGATTAAATTTTTTTTTTAATTTAGAAAAAGAAAAGTAAAAATAACGTGAAATACACAAGAAAAATGACATTCCAATAAAGTATAAGGAAATTGAAACAAGGAAACGAAGATATTTGCCTAACTTGAAAGAAAAGATTCATGTACAAATAATGTCGAAACCAGTTTCTATGGAGGCTATTTTTCTGTTCATTATAAATCAGAGCATAGAACCATCTGAAGAGAGATTTGAACAAAATCCAACAACATACTGCTGTTTTCAGTTTTCTTTATAATATACCAGCATTGAAATTTGAAAGGAGAACCTAAGACATTTTGCATGGATCTAAATACTGCTTAAGAGATGATGAAAATGACTATAATAAGTGATTGTGATTTATATGATTAAATTACAATATTTAGTAATATCTTCTGTGATAATTAATCATATGTAACCCCATATAGCATTTGAGTGTGGTAATGTAAAAATCAGGATTCAATTTCCAAATCTAAGTATTGCTATAAGAAATAATTCCAGTTGCTACTGCCTTAGTAGAGTGAAGCTTCTCCAAATTAAAATTGAATGAAAAACTTGCTATGAACCACATTGACTCAAGAAAGGTTGTGTTATTTGGCACTTTGTCAATAGGATGCATGTTGTGTGGAAATGTTGATTGTAAGAACATAATCAGTGCTCCCTGAAATGAAGGCAAGGAAAATTAACTTTATTGAATAAATAACTTATGAATTATAATGTGTGTGTGTGTCTTGTCTTTTTCACTCATCCAGCCATCACCAGCTGATCAACAAAAGATCCAGTGCACAATAATAATTAAATTGTCATCGTTACTAGTTTGTCAACTTTCAGTCATATGAAAACCATAGCTTTACAATACTTTTCAAGATACATTTATCACAGTAAGAGGATAGAACATATTTATAACTTCTAAATATAAAACATTTGGTGTCTGGGCCTCCATTTGCATTTGTGGTCTTGCTTTGGCGTCTTGCAAATGTTAGGGGTGGACCTGACACCAGCAATGACTAGAAGTGCCCCTTTCCTTATCTGACATGAGGATGATGTTGTCACTTTAATTTGCTTTCCCCTGAGTACTAACAAGTTTGAGTATTTTCCATTTGTTTGTGGCTCATTGCTTTCTATGAATTTGCCTATTTTTGTCCTATGGTCATTTTTTCTCTTTAGTTGTTTCGTTCCCTATCAGTCCTAAAGCCATCTTCTCCGTTAAGAAATTTTCCCAAATCTGTTTTTAGTCTTGCTTGTGGTATTTTTGCCATATAAAAGTTTTAATTTTTTTGTAATCAGATACATAGTCTCCCTCTTCTTGTAGAGTTTGTAAGACCAGAAACTTAGAAGGTAGCCCCCACCCTGAGACATATAGTCACCTACATTTTCTTGAAGAATTTTGTTCTATGTTTTATATTTAGGTCTTTAGCTATCTGGAGTTGATTTTTGTGAATGGTGGGAGATACGGTTTCTGTTTCTCCTAAACAGAATGCCAGATTTCTCTTTCTAGCCCCTTGAGTGCCAGGCTACATCTATAGCTGCGATTCAGTCTCTCCGTGAGATTGCCTGAAAGGTACCTCAGGCTTCCGTCCCAAACTGAACTCTTTCTTTCTCCACCTGTCCCCCTCCACACACACCAACAACAAAACAAAAATCTGTTCCTAGTAGTCGTCTACATTTCAGTAAATGATCCTTGCATCCTTTCAGTTCCTGAGGTCAGAAGCCTTAGAGTTGTTCATGATTTCTCTCTCTCACATCCAGTCCACCTGCAAATTCTGTCAACTCGACCTTTAAAATGTCCCAAGTCCAGCCTACTTCTCACCCTCTCCACTGGGTCCACCCTAACACAAACCACCGTCTCTTCAAGCCTCCTAACATCTCTATCTCCACTCTTGTCTCCTTCAGTCAACACAGTAGTGAGAATAATTATCTTATGATAAACTTTTTGTAGAAGTACCGCATATATAGAGAAGTGCATAGATCCTGTGTGTACCCCTTGGTGCACTTTTACAGTGGACACACCCATGTAATCAGCACCCAGATCAAGAAATAGAACATTGCCAGAAGCTGCCCGTCATGCCCCCTTCCATTCACTAGCCTCCCCCCAAGGAACCACTTACCTGACTGCTAACACCATGGATTGGTGTTGCCTGTTTGTTAACTTGATTTAAATGGAATCATAGTCTGTGCTTTTTGGGGTCCCTTTTTTCATCATCATATTTCTGAGATTCATCCATTTGGTGCACATAGCAATGGTTCATTCTCGTTGCACTGTATCCCGTTTCATGTATATATCACAATTTATTTACTCTACCTTTGGTGAACATTTGTGTTGTTTTCACTTCGCTGTTGTTTACAAATAGTACTGCTGTGAAAATTTTTGTACACTTTTTGGATGAACATATCTCCATGTTTTTGTGGGAAGAAACGGGAACTTAAGAAACAGAAACTGGAACTTAGTTTTGAGAATGAAAGGGATGCTATTAAGTAAGCCAGGACTACAGGCATAAATCAGGGCTGTCCTCGGTAACCAGGATGGATGGTCACCCACCTGTCACAGGAGCCTTCATGATCTGCCTGCTGGCGGTCCCTCTGACCCTCCTACACTCTCCCTCGCCTTATTCTCTCCACCCACGGTGGCCTTCTTGAAATTCCATGAACTTGGCAAGCATGTTCCTGCTTTGGGAACGTTCTTCCCTGGCAATCAGCATGGCTTGCCCCTCACTTCCTTCAAAGAGGCCCTATATAAAACAGCACCTCCCCACCATGACTCTCCCCATAATCTGCTGTAGTCTTTTTTTTTTTTTTTTTTGGTGAGGAAGATCAGCCCTGAGCTAACATCCATGCCAATCCTCCTCTTTTTGCTGAGGAAGAGTGGCCCTGGGCTAACATCTGTGCCTATCTTCCTCCATTTTATATGGGACACCACCACAGCACGGCCTCGCAAGCGGTGCTTCAGTGTGCGCCCGGGATCCGAACCTGGGCCACCAGCAGCTGAGTGTGTGCACTTAACCGCTACACCACGGGGCTGGTCCCATCCTGTAGTCTTCTTAGTTTTTATTGCTATTTGATTAAACCTGAAATTTTTATTGCCCTGTTATCCTCAGCCCCAAATGCAAGCTCCATGGGAGAAGGGACTTTTGTCTATTGAGTTCATTGCTGTGTCCCTGCACTTACAACAGTGCCTCACAAGAATCCGGGTCAGGGGGTATATAACTGTTATTGTATAATTTCTTCAGCTTTTTTACTTGAAAGTTTATAATGTTAGGGAAAAAAATGAACATTTCATCTTTACAGCAAGCCCCGTGAAACAGTCAAAGTGGGGTCTGTGGACAGGCAGCATTGACGTCTCCTGGGAGGTTGTCAGGAATGCAGGGTCTTGGGTCCCACCCTGTACCTACCTACTCAGGACCTCTGGGGGAGGCCAGGAGCCAGGGGGTTCTTATGCACACTCAAGGTTGAGGTGCACTCAGTTATTTTCTACCCATTTTATAGACAAGGAAAGTGAAAGTAAAACTTGAGTCAGTCACACAGCTAGAAAATGATGGTGCTGGGAATGGATGTACTCAAAGTCAGGGCCTGACAGAGTGTCTAGCAATCTAACTGACATGTGGAATAAAAAGCAAACAGACTTGCTTTGCCATTTCCGTGAGTAGGGAATGTTGGAATCAAAACGTGTCCCATTTGCCATTAACATACAATGCGGGAATTTGAGTGGCGTTAAGCTACACTGTTACCTGTGGGAGTGTTTCTCATCTTCAGCCTGTCTCTTTCTCTGTTTATTTTTGGCAGAAACTTGGGAACTGTGGGTGCTGTGGCCTTGGACTGCAAAGGAGACGTGGCTTATGCAACCTCTACAGGGGGCATCGTTAATAAAATGGTCGGCCGAGTGGGGGACACACCGTGTATAGGTGGGCTTTATGGATGACTACTGCCCCCTCTTTTCTTCCCCCGTCCTCAAGTTCTCATCCTCTGTTCTCCACCCCCTCTTGTTTTCTTTCTTTCCTCATTTCCCTCCTCTTCTTGGTGGCAGCTTCAGAATTTCTGGGAGTGGCAGTTGGGCTGGAAGGAGTTAGGACACTGCTTTGAGAGGGCATTTGTATCTAGTCGGCTGTCTCTCCTAGATTGCACATCTTTGGGATGACCTGGGAGGGAGATGGAGATGGAGGATGCTAAAGTCACCCCCATGCTACCCCATAGTGCCCCTTTCTTCTCTCTAGCCCCAGTGTCAGCATCTGCAGACTTATTCCCAAAGGACTAAGTACACAAAACCTCTTCATGGGCATGGGCTGAGATTAACGAACAAAGAAAACTGAGAATTTAAGTTTACAGTTTTTATATTTGAGTGGCATGAAAGTGACATACTGCTATTATAGAGATATTACAGATCAAAATGTTCTTTGCATTAACATTGAAGCACATTATCTAATTCCCAGGAGTGGGTGAGTGGGGGGTGTATGTGTTCCACCCTGTGCCGGCTGGGTAGATATGCTTTGGGGCAAAGGAGGAGCTGTCCTGCTGTAGCTGCTGCATGAAAGGTCAGGCCTCCGCCCCCGAGGCTCCCTTCGTCCTGATTGCAGGGTAGTCACATGGCGCTTACTGGTCCCCCTGTGCATCGCAAGTGATGGCTGCTAATCTGATCTTCGTCTACACTTTGGCACTCCTTGGGATTTCATATGGATGTAGCATTAGATTGTGGTATGTGTTTGAATTTCTTGACTGTTGATGCTCAGTTAGAACCAGTCACCTTCTTTGAGCAGGATCTGGAGGTTATGCTGACAATGACATTGGAGCCATTTCAACGACGGGGCATGGGGAAAGCATCATGAAGACGAATCTGGCCAGACTTGCTCTCTTCCACGTAGAACAAGGTACGTAGAAGTTCATATGATCTGAAGATGAGTAAAGAGAAGCTGTTTGTAAATAGATGGAGAAGTATATGAAGCCCTTTCTTGTTTGCTGTAGATGTTGCTTTCAGGTTAACACTATTTTCAGGTTAACACTGTTGTGACTCCTGTTAGGATCTGGAAAGAAGAGTGTTTAGAATACCGTTTGTCAGCCCACCAACTGGGAGAAGATATTTGCAAATCATATATCTGATAAGGGGTTAATATCCAAAATATATGAAGAACTCATACAACTCAACAACAAAAAAGCAAACAACCCCATCAAAAAATAGGCAGAGGATGCGAATAGAATGCCATTTGTCTTGCACGTCTCGGGAGAAGGGGCAGTAGAGAAGCTGTGAGCCTGGGTGTGGGAGACAGGGCAGCTCTGCTCAGGCTGGTGCTAGGGCTCCGTCTCAGTGCAAGGAGGGCCTTTTATGGTGAGGATCCTTCTTTGAAGCATGCAAACAGAAATTATTTACCAAAGATCTTTGTTAATTCGCTTTGGTTTTTCATACTGCAAATGGTTTTCCCATGAGATTTCTTTCAATGTGTTGTTTCTCAAACTTTTCTTGTTTTCAGGAAAGACATTAGAAGAGGCTGCTGATACTTCCTTGGGTTACATGAAGTCAAGGCTCAAAGGTTTAGGGGGCGTCATCTTGGTCAACAAAGCAGGAGACTGGGCAGTAAAGTGGACCTCTGCATCCATGCCCTGGGCGGCCGTCAAGGATGGCAAGCTGCACTGCGGAATTGATCTTGACGACACCTGTATCACTGACCTGCCCTAAGCCCCTGGAAGATTGTATTCTAGATGCTAGCTTGGAGGTAAAGTACAGTTCCCTGGTGTGGAGACTTAGCTTAATCAATTAGATTTAGAAATGGAAAAATTCTGCAGTCTGTCACTCCTTTTGTTGCCTTGATCAATAAGTATATGATTGTTTGGTTGAGAGGCGGATTCTGAAGTGATGAGGGAAATGCCTGTCTTCAGGTCAAAGTAAGACTAGTGAGGGTGACAAACCCTGCTGAGCCTTCCTCGTGAATAGTCCCCTTATCTTAGGTTAGGAAGAAGAAACAACCTGATGCTAACACAACAGGAATGGCCTCAGTGCGGGGAGCCTTTGGAAGTGGGAGACCCACAGCAGCGACAGAAGCTGCAGCCTGAAAGCCGTGGGGGATCCGGAGGAGACCGACTGCCCGGGCTCTCTTGGTTGAGACTTTCCCCCAGGACCAGGGAAGGGGCAAGGAGGAGGGAAGGGCCTGGTGGAGGTCTGTACAAGTGAGACAGGAGCAGCCCCAGAGCTAATAGAGAAGTCCAGGTGAACCGCAGCGTGTCACAGAGTTCGTTTAGAGTCAGACATCAGGTGAAAGAATCTGTGAGAGGGTAAACGGACTTTTCTAAGGAAGTTCAGATCTTCTCTGACTTACTAACATGGACATGTTTACAGACACTTTAAAAGCACCCTCTGGTAACCCGTAGCTCCCTAGTCTGGAGATGAGGGGTCACAATGGAGACTCTGTGGTGCCTCTTCAAGTCTGATGGTTTTCCTGGGCTCACACATGAGTCTACCCACCTACTGTCTTCCCACCAGCCAGGACGGCTGACCAGAGCCTCCACCTGCCACAGGCCCTCTGGGTCCTCATAGTGAGCAACGGGGCTCACAACTTCTCCTCTCCTACGACAAGGCAGGGCTGATCCATGTAGAGATGACACCATGACTCTACGCGTTCTCATACTGTCCAGTGCTATGGGATTCCTCCCCCCGCCCCACCCCAGCTGAATCAGGTGTTTGTACAATGTGGTGAGCATGGTGAAGAAAGTAATTTCCTTGGTGGAGAGTATTCCTGTTAATCTCTCTTTACATGGGAAATGGTATTTCTGCTGTGACATATCTGCTCAGTCTTTTAGTCTGTCAGGGCTTACTTTCTCTCTGGAAAGAAATTGCTTAACTTTAAATTCCATGTGCCACTAATAAAATGTATTTTGAAAGAATAACAGTGTGGTTAGGAGTCACTGTTGACAAAGACCAGAATGTACACAAGCTCCCTTTGGTCTGTCAATTAAGACAGGTGCACTAGTTAAAGTGACCTTCCGAGGTATGGGTGGGGTGTGGATATGATAATATATCCTGTCTCGTAGAGTACATTGGAGAGTTTTTTAGAAGAATTGAGCTTTTTCTGGATGGGTTAAGGAAGAAACCAAACCACCATTTGCAAGTATCAGCAGGGTTTATGGATCAGTCTTCCTGTAATTTGCCATTGTTCACGCCAAGACAGTCGCACAATTCTAGCTCCTGTCCCATGACCCTCCCTGGGCCACGTCAGCTGCTCTGAACTACAGAGAAAGAGGTGGCACTTGAGGGCAGAAGTGAGTTTGAATCCTGCTTCTCCCTACTACCTGGATGACCCTGGGCAAGTTAACTTCTAAGAATTTTTTCATCTATAAAATAGATTACTATGAAGATTAAATGAAATTGAAGGAAAATTGCTCAGTATTTACCTTAGGGATCCTGTGGACAAATGTAGAAACTGTGGCCAGGCCCAGCAGGGAGTCTGTGTGTTTGTCCTTGAAAACCTCAATATGCAACAACTGCCCTTTAGAAATCAGTGTTTTGTTAGGAGATATATTAGTTTGCTAGGGCTGCCAACAACAAAATACCACAGACAGTGGCTTAAACAACAAGAAGTTATTTTCTCTCAGTTCTGGAGGATGGAAGTCCAAGATTGGGGTGTGTCAGCAGGTCTGGTTTCTCCTGAGGCCTCTCTCCTTGGCTTGCAGATGGCTGCCTCCTCACCGTGTCCTCACACGGTCTTTTCTTTATACACATCTGTGGCCAAATTTTCTCCTAAAGATGTCAGTCGGGTGGGATTAGGGCCCACCCTAACAGCCTCGTTTTAAATTAACCACCTCTTCAAAGGCTCTGTCTCCAACTACAGTCACATTCTGAGGTGCTGGAGGTTAGGGCTTCAACATATGAATATTGAGGCGACACAGTTTAGCCCATAAGAGGAGCCAAAGCAGAAACACATTAGGGGTTGGAGAAGTAGGGATAACTAAGTAGATAAGGGAAAAGGAGTGGGGGCAGGATAGGGAGGCCAGGTGAAAGGTGTGATTTTGCGCTGATGAGTTCCGCCATTCACAAGGGAAGTGACTCCAGTTATCACGGACTGCTGGAGTCTCAGTGTGGGCGCCTGACCTTTTGGGCCCAGCGGCCCCAGCCCCGTCCAGTAAGGAAACATCAGCCCCCTGTGCAAGCCAAGGTGTGTATTCCTGCCCTCGGACCTTGATTCTGTGAAAAGTCACCTCCACTGGCCTGGGAATTCCATAAGCAGAGACCATGTATGGTTCTGTCTTTTGCCCACACATTGCCCTGTGACCTGCTCTGTAACTGTTTGTCAGACAAATAAATGAGCAAGATATTATCTGAAAGAGAGTGGCAATCTTTTTATCACTTCTATACCACAAGAGGGCAGCAAACTATAAAATATCCAAAGGAGAGATCATTTATCTTGACTCTGGATCAGAACAATCTAGTCAGAAAATTTGGAACCAAAAGAGGTTCCTGTTCCTGATTTTCATTTTCATCTGAATACTACAATTTATTTTATAGCAGAATTGTCCAAAACACAAACACTAGCAAATGCCCCACAGGACCCGTCAAAATCAACCATGTCTTTGACTCTTAAAACAACTGAAGCCCACTCTGCTCCTGCTGCCAGTGCTGGGGATCTCAGGGTGAGCACACTCAGGCAGCCCCAGCCTCTGCCCTCATTGCTCCTTCCAGCCAGGAAGACAGATCAATTGTAACTTGGCCTAAACTTGCCAAAATGGTGGGATAATAAGGAGCACAGGAGGGGCCAGAGCTGAGAGCGAATGTCTGCCCAAGCAGGAGACGCTGCAGTCGGCCCACCCTGTTGAGCGGGAAGGACAAGTCCTGGGAAGGAAGAGCCTTAACTTTGTAGCTGTTGCACAATAAATGTTTTTTTCAAATAATGTCCTTTCTAGACATGTTCCTTTCTAGCGTGAGAGGTTATAAACTCTGAGGACAAAGGAAGGTGGAATGAGACGCGCTTCAGTCCTCGTCAGTGTCGCTCTCATCAGAAGTGGATGGTGTGTGGGGAAGCTCATGGGCGACACCGTCCCTCTAGCCTGCACCTTCTCTTCTGTAGTCCCCATGTCAGCCCTCACCTTTGCACAAAACTGTCACTGCATTCAGACTTCGTAGCAACTTTGAGGGAGCAAGGAAGTGTCCCCACAGAGCTTATCCAGCTAAGAAGAATACAGATGTCCTTCTCCTCTGCATGGGTATAGGCGTGACCCAGAAAGGAATGGGTGCTGGGCTGGAGGACAGCGGTGAAACCTGGTTTAGGAATGAGGTTGGGAGGAGGTTTGGGCCTGGAACATAGGTAGGGTTGAGACCGGGAGTGGGTGTGGGTGCCCATTAGTGGTTCCATCCCAAGTGTAAATACCATTGAATGGGCAAGCAGCCTTTCTCCTTTACCCCACCCCACATACATACACACAGAGTCGAGCCATAGTCATCTGTTGTGAACTAGCTCATCTGTTGTAAAAAATCAATAGTGTGCGAGGGGAGGCACAGGGGAGATTCTGCCCCTTTGGAAAATGAGAAAAGGCCCAGAGAAACTGGAGTTTATTCCACTCAGGTTAAACGGAGGTTTGTCTCAGCCTATCTGTTCCTAAATCCTGTGTCCCTGATATGACAGTCCTTGTCATATCTCTCATGGCACCCAGCGCCTACCAAGACCAAGGGGCAGTCTCAAGAGCGCTCCAGGTGAGAAGCAGGAAAGAACAGCATGTTTTGACCACTTTATCCTTCAAATTCTGCTTTTTTTTCCAAGCTTATATAAAAATGAAGTTGGATTTTTCAGACAGTGAGAGGTAGGGGCCAGGCATGGACTGGGTTGATAGAGGAAACCAGCTTCAGATCTTTTTTTTTTAACCACTGATCTCAGGGTTAACTGTATGTTTTGCTATGCAGTTATCAGAACTTTCTGGATCCTATGCAGAACATGGATGGGGTTTGGGTTCTAAGCTCTGGCTAGGAGCAGCGGAGCAAAGAGGTTGGTTCTTCCCATCCCGTAGGACTGAGGCTCCACTGCAAGATGCCCTGGTCCAGGCAGCCCCTGGATCGTTATCTTGCAGGTAGCAATTTTTTACTAAACATTTTTAAGTTAAAAATAACCTTTCAATACAATAAAAGGGGCATATGTGCATTGTAAAAGTTGGAAAAAATAAAAATAGCAAAAATTTTTAAATGTATGAGAAAACAGATCAACAAAAATAAGAAGAAAATAGGGGAAAAGATTTCCTATAGCAGTGAATATCAATGTTACCACTTTATCATGATAAAGTGGTATATTTGATATATTCTTCCAGATCTTTTTCTAAGCATGTGGGTGTGTGGGTGTGTGGGTGTGAGTGTGTACTCCAAAATGAGATCATGCCATACATGCTTTTTCAAACTTTTTTTCAGTTAACAATCCACCTTTCCGTGTCAATAAACTCACCCATGTAATACTCAGTATTCAAATTTCTCCAGTCTCCTCAGCATGGGCCCTGATGGCAGGTTTGTCAAACCCTGCCCCTGCCTGGAGTGTAATTGTGCCCTTGGTTTCTTCTAACAAGTCCTATCTCTTTTTTAACAGCTCTGATTTGTTGGATATTAGGGCCGGGTGGCAGGCCGTGTCACACTTTCCCGGATGGTCAGGCTGCCTCCTGTGGGATCAGGTGAGCATTTGGCCAGAACATATCACTGGGCCAGGTGCCAGGTGACCATTCCAAACAGAAATATCCACATCCCTTCTGCAGCAGCAGCCTGCAGTGCTGGGGTGTGGGAACACGACTGGGCTTAAGGTGTGGAAAGGGAAA